GTAATTTCATTTATTTTTTATTTAAAAATAAAAGTGTTTGTTTGCCACTAGTAGCCTATTTCACTGTCAAAAGGTTGTACGAGCCCTAAAATGAATAATGTAATAATAGTCAACTACTACTGCCACAATACCATGGTTACAGTTAGCGTTACTTATTTAAATCCATGGTGAATGTTGGTGATTTGTGGACTGAAAAACCTTCTGTAACTTGCTCATGGCACAATATTTCTCCTGGTTTCCACATCATTGCTGTTTGATCTGATATCTATAGTTTATAACAGACAATTCTGCACCAAATTTGAATGTTTCTCACTAGATTTCGCAACGATTTTATTCATTCGGCGGAGAATTGAAACACTTTCTCACTGGATCTCCCAGCGCTGTATAGTAGCAGTGTCGTGTGATTAAAATCGGTCTGCGATTAAACCTGTACTGGGCTCACGCACGTTGCGCTGTTTATTAGGCCTTCTTCAGACTTTCAGAAAAAAAATCTGATTTTTTGCATATCCAGATATTATCCAGATGGGGTTTTCATATCATATGGGTCTACAAGTAGAAACTGTCTTCACAACAAATCGTCAAATTAAAAGTTTGGTTTAACTTGAAGAAATTGTGACAAATATATCACTATTGTACAGTAGAATGTACGTCAGAATGTAATAATAATAATAAATTATACTTAATGATTTTTTACGTTTAATTAATCCATTAAAATGGAAAAAGAGAATTTGGTAGGCTAAAAATAAAACACAATTTGAGGAAAAATAAAATGTAGGTTATTTCATTTACATTTTTCTGGACTGTGTTTTAATGGTTCAGTTACATTTTTGTAATAAAAAAACATGTATAATTAAATTAAATAATGAAATTATTATTATAATTTATAATAATATATTATTAAAAAAAACATTATTTTAGGCCCCAAACAGTGCTGGGTGGTAACTGATTACATGTAATCTGGATTACATAATCATATTCCAAAAATTAAGTACTTAACTAGATTACATTACATTTTAAATAGAATTATTACATTGTTCATAATCAGATTACAGTTAGGCCTACTTTTTACATGATTACATATTACTCACACAATAGGCTACCTAATAAGCGATATAAGCGGTTGCATAGGGCCCCGTGGCCACCAGGGGGCCCCGTGTCAGGGTTCAGACAGAAATGCCTGGCAATAATAACTTTGATGAAGTTTCCGTGTCAGTCGTGTGTGTTTGATAATGAAGAGGCGGCACTATCAAAGCAAGCGAGTGAGCAAGATAAGGGTAAGTGGTGGATATTGAAAATGTAAATGACGGTTGCTGGATCGTGTCTTATCGGTTTAATTCGGCATTTTGCTTTGAGCGCTTTGAAGACGCGCTGTGGCAATGCAACAACAGTAATGAACATGAACGGTATCGTGGGCACTTCAAAATATGTGAATAATTCTAGGTATCTTAATATCCGAATGGTTTCGATTTTTAGAGCGCACATTAGCTTATTTTCCATCGACCAGCTAAAGGGGTCATATGATGCTGCTAAAAAGAACATTATTTTGTGTATTTGGTGTAATGAAATGTGTTTATGCGGTTTAAAGTAAAAACAACACATTATTTTCCACATACTGTACATCAGTGTTTCCCAACCTTTTTTCAGTCGCGGCACCCTTTGGAAATTTTAACAAACTTGTGGCACCCTACAAAATTAATTTTGTCACAATATTTGAATTTCTAACTTTGATATGATACTTTGAAAAGTATAGATATTCGGTACAACAGGGAAGAACTGCAGAATATAATGTCATACAGATATTTTTAATATTATTTAAAAATTTTGTCCATCAATGGTGGCAATCAGTAGGCTAATTTCTAATGAAGAGACCAATTTATATGACAGATTTTAATGTAGGCTTTTATACATATGTAAACATTATTTAATTACCATTATAACTAGCTAAAAACTTTTCATTTTACAGTGGGGTAATTTTGGTGCAGTAGCACGAGATAGATTGATTTCAAACTTTGAATTGAATAAAAGTGAGCAGAGGCGCGGGCTTAAGAACGGCGCGGCCGGCGGATTCGACGAAGTAGCGGCAACCACATGTGACGACCCCGGGCTGGACTCCGCTTCATCCACGGTGAAAGCCGATCCGGCGATCCACAGCACTAAGTTGATGTATTCCCTCAGCGACCAGCACGGATCAGCTCCAGGCATGACGAAGCAGATGTCGTCCTCTTTTGGAAGGCCAAACAAAGTAGTTTTGTTTTCACAACGAAACACACAGCTCTTCATGACATGGCGGCGGCAACAATACTACAGCGAGAATAAAAGTTACGCCTTCTTTCTTTGCGTGAACATTTGGGTGGCGTTATGCAAATCTTCCCACATAGTGACATAGATATGTGGGGGCGTGTTAGAACGAGCCGTTTTAGGTAGGTGTGGCTGACTCTTAACTTTTATAAAGAATATCTCTTTGGATTTGAGACTTTAGTCTTTGCAACTTTACAGATCTTCTTTATGCACCAAGAGCTTGTAACACTCCAAAGAGAAAGGAAAAATTGAAATCGCATCATATGACCCCTTTAAGTTTTATAACACTGCACGTTTGCCACGTAAAAGTTCGGCCAGATTTTCTCTTTTGTCTAAACAAAAGCAGCAGACGGGCTGAATAAAATGCAAATTCATTCTTCGACACCATGTGTACCAGTGTAGCTCCATGTCCCAACCATCAACTGGCAAACCCCCAAACCAAAGTGTTGTCTATTTAATTCCATTTAATTATTGTCTTTGTATCTTTTTTTGTTTTGTTTTGAGATATTGCACAATACATTTGAAATGGAGGAGGATATGCACCAAGTACCTCAGGGATAAGTGTTAAATCCAATTATTCTCAGAAAACCAGATAGGTACAAAAAATATTTTTCAGCTAAATAAGATGTTAGAAATACTTTTATCTTAATAATATTTTAATAAAAGTTTCCTTGTACATTTGTTTTCTGTGACAGAAAATAGATCTGTCCACTGCAGTGGGCATTATGCACCAAAGGTTATATTGTGCCTATTGGGCCTGTATTCTGCCTTATTTTGCATGTTTTATCATGATTATGATAACATTTACACTTGAATAGTTTTATTAAACAGCAATATTATATAGTCTTCAGATTGTATCATTTATTTCAATGCTTTCAGTCTATATTTATTTATTAGTTCATATAAAAGTGTAGGCATGTACTGTATGAGTGCAGGGATATGTGTGCATGATTGCATTGGCATGATTTTTCACTTGTTTAAAAGTAAAAACAATCATATAAAAAATTATTACTTTGTGATTGAATAATTAATGCATGAAAGGGTTAAATATGCCATATTTTTATTCAAAATTTTTTTACACTTGTGCATTTTTGCATTTTAATCTGGACTAAAACATGCCAGCTCAGAAAAGAGATTATTCTGCATTATTATTGGTAATAATAATAATAATAATGATAATATTAATAATAACAATACTATAGTACTACTACTACTAATAATAAATATTAAAAATAAATTTCATATATTTTTCTGAAAGCAATGGTTAAACTTTTAAATAGTTAAAATGGTTAAAAAGTTGTTAAAAGTGTTTAATAAGTAAGCATATCTTCATATGTATGTATTAAAAGATACTGAGTAGATACTGATTAAGACAATTTGGTAATTTTTTACAACAGGGTTAATATAGTAAACTAAAACTAAAAATATATTTAAAAACATTTTTCATTATTTCAAATAAAATAAATGTTAACTCAAATAAAAAAAAAAAAACTTATTTTATTTTAGCTAGTTGACAAGGCAACATTTCTCATTTTCATTTAATTTATGTTGATGTTCTAAAAACTTAAAAACTGAAATAAAAATGAATAACTATATAGACATTCAAAAACTAATAAAAACAAACAATAAAATGACTGAAACTTTAGCTAAAATGAAAATGACAGCAGAAAATATAAAAATAATTAAAAATATTAACAAAAGCTATAGTACCTCAATGAGAGTAAAATAACATTGCTTTACAATAAGGTGTCAGTGTAGGATGTGTACGTTAGGGGATGCGGGTGGTTAGGTGATGGGGGGCCCTCTTTTGAAAATCTTAGGGCCCCCAAAATGCTAGGGCCTGCCCTGTTTGAATTACACAGCGTAACACATGCATACCAAGTCAAGTCAAGTCAAGTCACCTTTATTTATATAGCGCTTTTAACAAACCAAACAGAATGTATTCCCAAAATTGTGTCCGCCAAAACCCTTTGACATAAAATATTAAGTCCCCCCTGAGACTTGATTTGACATTAATCACCGAATTAATTATTTGCTTTTCATCATCTCACAAATCCCATGCAGTTAATTCACGGACCCCAGTTTGGGAAACCCTGGCATAATATAATGTTTAATGCACTTCATGATGTTGATAATAAAGAATGGACTATATTTTCTTATGAGTTAGGTCAAAAGAAATCTAAAAGAATAAAAAAGTAGTTAGAATACATTACCTAATACGTGTAATCCAATAGATTGCGTTACAAATTATGATTTTTGTCATGTAATTTGTCATCAGTAACAGACTACAATTTGTAAGTTATATATTTATACACACACATACATACATGCATACACACACACACATATATATATATATATATATTTAAATTAACATTTCTTTTTTTGATTGCACATATTAACAGGCCATACATCACTATGGCTTCACAGCAAATGCTAAGTTATGTCTCGATTGCAGTCCAAGGAAATGCATCATCGTGAGTAAGCACACAGTAAATGAGTTTTTTTTATCATGTCAAAATTAAGGCAACCATCCAAACCTCCAAGCATATAACAAATACATTGCCCAGCATCTAGCCATGCCATGCTATACGAAACAAGCTTCTTTCCTTCTCCCGAGCTTAAAAACTCAAGTAACTTTAAATAATTTCTAAGCATTTGTAAGCCATCATAAATTATGACAAACATAACAGCTGCAGGAATTACACAGTGGTGCAGTTGGTGGACGGTGCTGGCTCTATCTTGCTCTTCATCTCTCTGGTCTCATTTGTAGGGCACTTAGAAGCCACCTGACAACGGAACACCTGCTTATACGCCTGCCTGAAGTTCTCTGAGAGGAACGCATAGATAACAGGATTAACAGATGAGTTGCTGTAGGCCAGACAATGAGCCGCCACACGGAGCACAAAGGATGCCTGGTTCAGGGGAAAGGAGCCAAACTCGACCCATAGGTGCACCACGTGATGAGGCAGCCAGGACAGGCAGAAGACCACCACAACCACCAGAACTGTCTGAGCAGTCTGATAAGAAAAGTGGAGAGAGACATTTTTGTTGTTTTTTAACATAATAACAACGATCAACAATTTACATAAATGTGTGTGGTCAGTTTAAGTAATAATAAATAATAATACATCTAATAAATATAAAGTATAAATATAAAGATTATATTATATTTATATACCTTAACAGATTCTAAAACAAATCCACATTTAGTTTTGCATTAATAAAGATCATAATCAAGCCACATTAAATTCAAATATTCATAATCAAGACACAATTAAACAGCCACTGACCTTGGCATAACAGAAAGATATCAGAATCAGCGGCAGCACGTATCCAAAGACGAAGGTGCACACCACATAGATTTTCCTCCTGCTGTGATCTGGCCAAACTTCCCAGCAAAACGTGCTGTTGTCCTCACTTTCCACGATACCCTGGTAGTAGGCAACCGGTGTGGCCATGACGAAAGAGAGCACCCATATGATCAGCACCCCGATCAATGCATGCCTCCCAACTCGAATGTAAGAGGACTTTCTGCAGTGCACTATGGCGATATACCTGTCCACCGACATGGCTGATAAAGTGAAGATGCTCACCAACATGGACACGGTGAAAAAGTAGTGGATGAACTTGCAAATAAAGGCACCCAGGATCCACGTGGGCAGAATATAAACTGTTGACTGAAAGGGGATGCAGAAGAGCAGATAGGACAGATCTGCCACGCTGAGATTGAGGATGAAGATGTTGGTGGTGCTTCGTTGCTGTCCAGGTTTGCGTTGAGCCAGAACAGTAATAACCAGAGAGTTTCCCAGGACGCCTAGAGTAAAAATGAGTCCAAAGATCAGAAGCGTGACGAAGTTGTCGGCTCCTATACCAAATAAGGGTTTTTCAGGAGCATCCAAGTCTTTGTTGCCATCAGGTCTGTCTGAATAACTGCTGTTTTGGATGTTCATCTTCAACGTGAGCTTATTTTGACGCTTCGTCGTGAAAACGCAGTCTTGAAGATCTTCTGCAGCTAGTTTTCTTGGATAATTGATTATCCAGAAAAGAAGGTTTGGTTGAAAAATATTCTTACACTTTCATAACAATCTAAAATATAATAATTCTCAGAAATTACGTTCCTGATAATCCCGTTGCCTTCTCACACTGATGGCGCTTAGAGATGAATGTTTTCATCTGCAGGGACTCTTCTTGTGAGCTCGCGCTTGGTGGAGGAGAGCTGTTTTGATGCCGCAGTAAAATATTGCCTGTGTGGACGACGGCACTGAGACACCAATTTCCCAGCCTTACCCACCCATCCTCATATACAGAGATATCCTACCACCACCAAGCCGCCCCCGCCCCCGCCCTTTTCCCCACTTTTCCACTATCCATTAGACCCCTTTCAACTCCTGCAGTTTCATGTAATCCATACGGTTCAGGTGAACTTAAAACTTATATTTCATTGAGACAAAATATTCAAAGACTATATAAGCATAGTGTGCTCAAAAAAGCAAGTTCATATGTCTTAAAAGTATGTTTTCGTTTTACAAATAGGCAGTGGTGGACAGTAATGGAGTAGTTTTAATTCGTCACTGTACTTAAGTACGTTTTTCAAGTATCTGTACTTTACTGGAGTGGTTTTATTTTGAGTAACTTTTACTTTTACTTCACTACATTCCAAAGC